AATTAAGGGGCTACACACCCCTTAATTCGAACTAGCTAGTTCGAACTAGGCTTAATCCTCGTAAAATGAGGTTTACCTAGTTTGAACTAAGCGCTCCGTTAGTTCGAATTAAGTTCGAACTAACGGAGCGCTAGTGTAGCGCCTAGGAAAGTTAGTTCGAACTAACGTCCGTTAGTTCGAACTAACTTTGTAGTGTAGACATACTCTCAGTAACTCATTTAAAAGTAACTGTCCTTCTACAGAAAAAAACCTCAAAACAAAACAGAAACAAAAACTTTGAAACCAGACTACAAAGAGAAATAGCAGGACTGCAATTAATTCACAAATTTAAAAGGATCAAATTAGGACTGAATAAGAATGCAGAATGGTTCTCTTACTGTAGAGAATCAGCAAGCACAGTGCTTTGGCCGCATGACAGAGCGTCCCAAGGACGAAACCAAGCAAGAGTCCTGAGCCAACAATAACAACATCTGCCTAAGTCAATGACCTTCGAGAATGCTGTTTTTGTGACTGGGAAAAAGCAGTTTGGGAAAAAGCAGTTTGTAAACTTTTAAGGGTATAAAGATAGTTGTAATCTTTCAATAAAATGATTTCGTGATTGCACCGGCCGGAGTCCGTGCCTTCATACACCACATCTTACTACAAAGACAATTTTCCTTCTCTTGGTATTCACACTTCCCCATCAGCTGCTGAAAGTGAGCCACATCCACCCTGACTGAATTGCCCTCATTAACACTGGTCCTACACTTGATAAGTAACTTTCTTCATTTGTTATACTAGCTTATATATGTAATTTCCACTCCAAAGTATCGGAAGAAGTGGTTTTTACCCTCAAAAGCTTATGCCCAAATAAATCTGATAGTGTATATCTACACTAGCCCCCTAGATCGATCTAGGGAGGCTAGTAAGGGCGACCAAAATTGCAAATCAAGCCCAGGAATTAAATATCCCGCGCTTGATTTGCACGTTCCTGGCTGGTCGCCATTTTAGAAATTGACTAGCCCAAAGTAACTGCCCGCATCTACATGCAGCAGTGAAACGGGATTCCGATTTAAAGCCCTAACTTGAATTAGCTGGTATTCCTCCGGCAATGAGGTTTACCAGCTAATTGGATTTAGGGGCTTTAAATTGGAATCCCGTTTCACTGCCGCGTGTAGACGTGGGAAGTTACTTTGGGCTAGTCAATTTCTAAAATGGCGACCGGCCGGGAACATGCAAATCAAGCATGGGATATTTAAATCCCAGGCTTGATTTGCAATTTTGGTCACCCTCATTAGCCTCCCTAGATCAATCTAGGGAGCTAGTGTAGACGTACCCTTAGTCTTTAAGGCGCCACAGGACTCCTCATTGTTTTTGCAGATACAGACTAACACAGCTACCCTTCTGAGACTTGTTGCTTGGTTGTGATTGAACAGATAAGTCACATGGTATTGTTTATCTTCCTTAATTGGATAAACACTTCAGACATGAATACTATTCGTGCAAATCTTAAATTCTGTTCTACAAATACCTGTGGAAATGTCTTTGAAGTTCATTTCTTATTTAACCTTTATTGTGGGTGAGAGGGCAGTAAAACTCAAAGGCTCAAATGTTAGCAGAAAGAGAACTCAACAGGAGAGCAAACATGGCCTGGGAATTCAATTTAAAATGAAATTGAATGGTAATGAAAATCTCTTTTTTTTTCATTATTCATACAACTCCATTTCCAATCCAGCTACTGCATGATGGCTCATATGCAAGACCAAAACATGAAAAGTATTTGAGAAAATACATACATACATTAAGGATAGGGTTACCAAGTAGTCATAAAAAAAAATACCGGACATGCTTCATAAGGGGAGGAGGGGAAGGGACCAGCCGGGAGGGGAGCGGTGCTGGCCAGGAGGAG